TTGTTTTATGAAGAAAGATACTGAGTGGGTAACATTTTACAAATTCAAGCTCACATTTCTTTTGCTTTCTCGTAAACAATTACATTAATATAAAACCACTGTGGGTTAGGTATTGTCCTGCCACAGCTGCGTGATACAATCCTGTCATGGTTTCTGAACAACCTGTGAAACACCCTGCCTGAGGGCTGTTTGCAGAATTGCACTTTTCTCTTTGGCCTTGAACAAACACAGCCGCTCTTTCGCAGCGTCTCTCTGGCGAGAGCATCCACAGTGACACAACACAGTCTCAACAGCACCGTCAGCGGTCTGTGCAGGGAAGCCTCAGGTAGATATAAAGTGAACATGTCGGGGTCTCTACCAGCAGGTGCTGTTGATGGAGTGGTATGATCTGCCTTACGTAGCATTAATGAAACAAGACAGGGTCCGGCTGAGCAGCTGCACACTGCACAGCCACCCTTCTTGTTGATTGTAACCTGGGATGACCCAGAAGAGACTACGACTGCAGGAACAAGAGAAAGAAGAGAACAGAAAGAAAGACTTTCACACTGTTCACCATCGTCGTAAAAACTGTACATGTGATCTTTTCCCTGAAGCTCAATAACATCGACTCTTACGTTCCAAGAACTAAAAGAAACATCCTGTCCATTTCAAGATAAACCTTTTGAGAGAAACCAGTTACAATAGGATTCAAAGGTGAACATGCTGCTACAACATGGCTAGAGATTTCTACAATGTTCAGTGTACTTTATTTAGGATTCTGTGTGGAAAAATTAACAAAAAAAAAAAAAAAATAGCACATAACTGTGAATTTTGAGAACAAAGAGGTCAGTTTTAGAAGTATTATAAAGATATAAGAACACACCAGATTGGACATGAATAAAATTGTGGACAATTTAGATGACAAAACAACATAGCGTTAGTTAATTCATCAATTGGAAATGGAAAGAATATGTTCCAACCACAAGTCTGATGACCGGGATGAAGGCCACAAGCGGAAACTCATTGTTCTACTGACGAACTTTTTCAAGTGTTGCTATAGTCCATTCGCAAATCTACCAAAACATGGCCGTCCACCTAAAGTGAAAAGCAGGACCAAGAGGGCATTGCGTTTGTTTTCAGAATGAAAACTAATACAAGTTTAAATTGTTTTGCCAATAACTCTTTGTGTGGTCAGGTCGGTCTTATTCCTGTTTTTCTGCTAAAATTTGATAAAACATGGGTTACATTCAGCATTCTTTAGTCTTCTGCAAACATTAAGCTTTCTTGTTAATTTGCAATTTACTCTCAAGATAATTTAGGATTGTGCAAATGACGCACTCTATGCGTGTTTTAGTGGTCAAACCCAACAAATGTGATGTCAGACCTTTCCAGGGAATCAAGATTTGAAATGGTCCACCACAATTTTCCTCCTTATCTGAAACCTTTCAGGCTGTATTACCAAGAGGCCAGATAGGGATGTCGACGCCTGTGGTAATGCCCATCCTGCAGATAAAGTGGACACAGAGGCAGAGGCTTGCTTCTTTTCCCATGCCTATGGGCTACAAAGGGGAGAGTGATGAGTTGTTTCCAGGTGTGACCTCACAGCCAACGGAGGCCAAACTGTCATAGTATGAGAGGTGTATTTTATTTTCTCAATGATCTGAAGCTGCAACACAACACATGAGATGGCAGATCAGAAGAGCCCATCCTGATGCAAAAACTCCACTCTGCTCTTGACCGTAGCACTAAACACCATGAGATTTTTTATTATTGTTTTGATGATATGGTCTAAAAGGATAAATGTCTAATTTGACTAGATATTCAGAGGGATTTTATTTACATTTCCCTCCAGATGTGTTCCTTATTCATTTCTGGCCAAAACTGAAAGACTAGATTGTGATCTGTGGCTGAAGATTATATTAGAATTACCTTAATGTATCAGAGAAAGCTGCTAAGAATTCAAACGATAGTCTGCACCTGTTTCCCATTTAGATGTTTTTTTTTTTTATTATTTCAAAGCTCATAAGTGACGATGAGTCTGACTAGAGCTACTACAATGCTGACATCTAGTGGTGCAGCCACATTTACGCACAAGCCTTGCAAAACACAGTTCAGTTTTTCCCTAGAATCCCCCCCAACTCATAAACACATCCCGGTGCACAGAGGAGTATTAACAGCTTACTAACACGTCAGGAAATTATTCATGGAGAACTGAGTGAAGTAATGAAAAAGTAATTTGTTCAATATTTTTGTACCGCATGATGTTATTGTGGCTGTTTAATGTCAAACAGAGGGCGTCTCACTGAGGGCAATGGTGCAGTGAAATGACAAGACGTGCTGGTTGGCCACCACTAAATGACATCAGTGTCCCCGTGAGGTCATGTGGCCACACAGAGGAGACTTGATGTTCTCCTGTTTTCTCAGTGAAGGTGAGCTGAAAGGGCGGCATGTGGGGAGCGAGGTGTGAAAGCCAGTTTGTTTTTTAAATGAATAAATTTCTAAACCTGCTAATTCGGTAACTAAATATGACAAAAAAACGGGTGGCGGAAAATCCAACTTCTCATATCCCATAGGAATGTGCAGTAAATACTGCACGAGATTGTTCTTATTCAATTTGATTTGACCTTGGAGGTGTTTAAATGGAATAAAAACACACTTAGTTGAAGTATTCACTTTCTGATTTGTACCCCTCACTATTTCTCGTATACCCTGATTATGTAGCAGTTTCATTTTTACTAACAGTTTCTTGCTAAATTATTTCTATGCCTTCAACTCTTTTTTTTTCTATTTTGTCATGTTAAAGTGTATTTTATTGAAATTTAATGTGACAGACCAGCACAAAGAAGTGCCTGATTATAAAATGAAAACCAAGATTGGAAAACACTCCATCCGTCTTCCCATCAACTCTCTGCTGATGGGACGTCAGGAGTAAAACATGGTGATTCACGTGCAACTCCAATGCAAAAAATCAGAAGTCTGCACAGACCAATGATGTTTGCATGTAAAACATATACCTAGTGTCTTTTTCGTGAAGTAACAGAATCAGAAACTAGCAAAAGAGGAAATATTCCAGAATTGCAGAAGTTATTTCAAACTAGGAGCTTTAAAAAACTGGTTTGCTATGTGTAGGATTGCCCACCAGATGGCAGTAGCATCCAGACTCACACCACCTATTGAGACGTCTGGACATCTGTGGGCCTGACCAGGACTTTCCTCTCCCAGGCGAATCAATATCAAGATTTTTTTTTTTATGAAAACTTCTGTTAAATTAGAGAGTAGTTGAATAGTCCAAATAAGACTTGGTGGAACAAAGATAGAATCAACAATTAAAGGAAATGAGTTGTTATATATAATTTTTTCAGTGCTTCAAATAGAATAAACTTGACCAGTTTGCTGACTGTGACAAACATACCGTGAGGGAATCAAAGATGCATGAACTGTAAATCTTAAAAAAAAAAAAAAAAAAAAAAAATGTACTTACAGTCCATATAAATTTTACAGCGCAGGAAACTTGGTTTGCTGCTCAGCTGAGAAGTAAAAAAACAAGCAGTGAAAATTAAACAAATTACCAAATAATAATTAAAAAAACAGGTCAATGACAGATAACCACTTATCCGTGCTATATGGCAAAAAATCAATCAATCAATCAATAAAACTCCGGATGACTAAGCCCAACTGTGACAATATGACTGCCCGCATTGTGCAAAGATTGAGCCTTTAACTCTAGATGCGGATCAAATAAAGTGTAACGAGTGTAACAAACAGATATATCTGTTAATTAAATATATTTAATCAGTCCTCATATTTCATATTTTTCCAGAGTATTATTTATTTATTTATTTATTTATTTATTTATTTATTTATTTATTTATTTGGTAAAACAAAAACATATATTTCGCTGAAATTCTAAAATGATACTGGTTCAAACCTTAATTATCCAGAATCTGAGAGTTTCCCCAAAATAAACTTTTAAAAGAATGTTTCGTTTTTCAGTTAACATATTTCAGATAAACTGTTAAAACTATCATCAATATAAGGGCACATTAGAATTACCATTATGTCATTGCTCAAATAAAAAGTTACGCATTAAAAATACATGAGCATTAGTAAAAAATATATTTTCTTCGATCTATTAAATCTGTACATTGCCTTCTGTGGCGTCATAGGACATTAATTTTAATACGAAGAAAACACCAGCACCTACAAAGAAGAGACCGGCCCGCCTATCATTAAATCAGTCATCAGTCTATAAACGCACGTGTGCACCGATTTAAATTCAACAACTTTTCCGAACATTTCTGTTAATTAAACTGAAAAAAAAGGGAATTAAAAAGGGAATAATAGTGTGTGACTTTAAACTTTGTCCCGTTTCACATATCAATCATAAAGATGTCAATGCCTCTTGAATAAATGAGAAGGAGGCATTGGGGAAAATCTTGAAAAAGTTCTCAACTTCTCATTTTACATTCATGACAAACAGGCACAATTAGAGGACTGGGGCTCCCTAATAATGACTCCCGAGCAATTCACACATATTTATTTCTGCATTTTAGAAGCTTCAAGCCAGGGAGTGAAATCCGGACAGGTTGTTATAGCTACGCAATCCACAGGGGTTCCGATGTCTATTTAAAATCCAGAGGACCCTCCCTCTCTCCTTTAAACAACATTATATATCACACACACACTGCATGCTAATGCCAGCAATTCTCAGTGAGCACTAAAACACATCTTAAAATTAGCTCATTCCGGCTGACAAGGCAACAGAAGGAACATATCATCAGAATTCCCCCTTTGGCAATACCTGCTGATTGGGTCCTTAACAAAAAAGCAAGCGGCTTTTAACTTTTAATATTTGGCTCCTCAGTTCTGCCACCAGCACTCGCGATAGATTGAAAGACTTTTTTTTTTTTTTAATCTCCCTGCGGTTGTTTCAAGATTGAAATAAAAATCCACCAGCTAGTAGTTATTTTCTTTTTTTTTTTTTTCTTTTTTATGTTTTATTTTTATTTTTTATTTTTTTGCTTCACTCTTCAGTTCAGTTCTGGTGCGCGGATGAGCGCGCATGTTGGCGTTCTGCTGGAGAGGTTTTGCGAAACTTTAAGGATGATATACCTTGGATGTTTCCTGCTGCTGTGTGGGCTTACGCATGTCATAGCAAGCTATCCCATCTGGTGGTAAGCTTTATCTTCACTTTTTTTTTCTTTTTTGTTTTTTTACACCTTAAATAAACGGCGACGTGATTTTTTTGTTCTTGTTGTTATTGAAATGCTGAGAAGCGTCTGATGGTCCTCGATCCATGTGCGACACTTTGAGCGGTTGTAGTTTCAGTTTGTTTTCTGACAGCAGCCGGACTCTTACGCACAGTAATGATCCGTCAGCTTCAGCTTAAGCAGATGTAAATTGTCCGCAGTGAATGCTCTTGTTGACTTTGTTGTTCATAATTATTCATTAATTCTATTTATTTTATTATTATTATTATTTATTTGTTTATTTATTTATTTTATCTAACTCATCATGGAAATGTGTTGAAACTAACCAGGTGTGTGTCCAGAAAGTTTGAAAACTGGGGCAGGCAGATGGTGGTTCATTGGCACACCAAAACAAAAAACCCAGAACAGCGTTTTGGGAGTTTGATTATCCTGTCACTAAAGAAGTGGTGCAGAGCATGTAGTGAGTGAGCAACAACTAGCAAACACATTTAATTAATATAATTAATTAACTAATTAATTAACAAATACATGTTACAACTCATAGACTTGTCCTCTTGTGTCCTGAAGATATACTCCTATAACAAATATAATAAATTAAAACATTGCAAATGAAAAACTGTCCTGACAAATAGGTTTCAGTGTATGGGGCCTACAAAATATAGCACTGGCCTTTGCCCACTTTACCATTGGAGCGACTAAAATAAACACGAGTTGACAAAAATGTACATTTCTATTGGCATTTCCAATCAATTGTAATTCTGAAAACATTGGCCTGTATTTGTGTGAGAATTAGATCGTGAGAGAAAGACATGGGTTTATGTTTATCCAGTTTTTATTTTGGGGGGTGGGGGTGAGGAGGAGGTCATTAATGTGTTACTGGCAGACATTGAATCCCCTGCTTAAATCTGGGTCTCTATTCAAACGTACATGAACATGGGTTGTTCCCTACAAAACATGTAATTAACCACTATTTAATCAGGATAAAGTCTATGCTTCTAAAAAACAAACTTACACACAGAGCTGTGTGTATCAGGTGGCTTCACATAAGGTTTAAGACAGACGAAGAGAGTTTTTAAGTCCATCTTTTGGTATTTTTCTTGTTGTCTTTGTTCCCTTTTTTTAAGGGAATAAACTGTAAAACCAATTCTTATCGCCTCATTTGCACAGTTGCAGTGCTTCGTTAGATATAATGTGAAACAAATGGATGACTTTGAGGAAAATTTGTCAACAGTAAAACAAGACTCACCGATCAATCAATCAATCAGTCAATCAGTCAATCAAATCTCTCTTAATAGTCTCTGTTTGGTGATGGGCATGTCAAATACTGAAAACATTGTTTTACCCTATTTGTTTAATGCATCAAACTCAATCATTTCCACTAAATTAGGTTTATAAGCATGTTAACCAACATCATGTTAGAATAGAATAGAATAGAATAGAATAGAATAGAATAGAATAGAATAGAATAGAATGTTTCATTGAGATTCATACAAGACATTGCTGTAAAGACACTCTTTCTTAAAAAAGAACATTCTTATGTAGTAAATACAAAGACAGTTTGTAATCATGTAAAAATAACCATATTTCACATAAATAATAGTAAAATATACAAATATTTGGCTCTACATAAATAAAACAGCGTTAATGCTTCTTAGTCCATTTCGAGGATGTTGTCTGTATGTTTATGATGCTGATATCATTGGGAGGTCACTTACTTGTCATGTGATCCAGTTTCACTGTGCAATCTGTAATGTCTCACAGTCAAGGTAATTTTTCAGGATATAATGACTTACTCATGCAGTTTAAAGTTAAAATAAGTGATTCAGTAGTCTGACATATGACAGACTGAATATTTGACCTGCATTGCAGCTGAATTTATAAAGCAGGATTGAAACTTCAAAGATGCATTGGTTTAGACTAAATAAGATTTTTTGCTGCAAACAATTTTAGGCATTTATTATTTTGTTATATATTTTTTAATTATTCACTTTAAATTACTGTTTAGCTTTCTGTTCTGTCTCACCACACTGGTTAAAGAGTGGCATGTGCTATAAAATCAAGAATATAAAACCAAAACCTCTGTGAGTTTTGGACTAAATCAGAATAAAAAAAACAAAAACAATTTGTGATTTGAAGCATTTATTTGCAAAAACTTGAAAAGGATATTGGGGAAAGGTTTATTCTTTCTGGTATTTCTGGCAAGTGCAGGTATTTCAGGAGTAAAGGCTTGTCCAGGGCCCCATTTGTGCAAGAACTATTACTCCAACTGATAATGATGTATAATTAGGTGATTAGGATCTTGGATAAGAAGGTCATCAGGTTCCATCATGCTCAGGAAAAAAAAAAAAAACCTTAATACAATAACCTTTGAAAATTTCACATAATACTTGAATCCTAGACATATTTTTGAATGCTCACATGGCACTTTTAAGGTAACTAAAAAATAATAATCCTTCTCTCAACGTGTGGATATGCTGACAGGTCATGTAAAATAGCAAAGCATTTCATTGAAAAAGAACAATTGCATTATCCTGTATCCTGTGCAAATTCTGTAGTTAATGTGATGGTTTTGTGCCTTTATTTTTGACTTATTTTGTTTCACATAGTTGGGTCTTAGTGTATTTGCATTTTTAGCCCTGTAAAATATTATTTATGTATTATGCAGGTATCTATCTAGATTTGTGCCATTGACTGGTATGAAGATAAGGTGAGGATTTAAAAAGTTTCAAAGCAACAAAAACAAAAACTGCTGCATAATGTTTCTACTGTTTAGTTTCTGCTGTTTCTGCTGGCATTTCTCTTGAAATGCTAGAGAAAGGGCTGGAGTAATCATTGTTATAATCAGTGTTAGGTTTGTAGCTTGCCCTCTCCCACCTGTTGCTGAGCACTGCTGATCAGCTGAATTAGAAAAGCCTAATTCACCTGAGAAAAACACAGAGAGTCATCGTGTGGAAATTGAGAAACTGTTGCCAGTCACTGTCATTAAGGTGACCCAGTTCAAAAACTATCAGCATGTTCTAAGTGAAAGCCGTTGATATTATATACTTTTGTCATGAATCTCTGTGAAACCATGAAATTTTAATCAAACTCAGTGTGGAAAATATTCTTCCTAGGGACAGGTTTGCCATTTAGCTTAAACTGTGCACAATATCCTAAATACCCCACTTCGGCATAACATTTTCCACTTTGACATTGGCTCTCAAAGTCTCATCAGACTTTGAGAGCTAATGTCACGTCTGGTAAAATACGTCCATCAATCATAGCAGGTTTTGTACAGTAGAACAAAAATAACAAAAGATGTCCAGGTTCCAATAAATCATTTAATATTTGGCAATGCTTTAAAACTGGGTGGACCCCTAATCTACTTCCATTAATGGGTCCCCTGGTGTTAAGGCTGATGAGAAACTAATTACACACTCAGCTGGAAGGAAATCCTGATATAACACTGAGCCCACTGAGTGGATAGATGGGGGAAAAAAAGGAGGAATGCTCTAATCATTCCTATCTTCCAGCATATTTGATTTTGATCAAATTTGTCATCTAATTCTTTGTAATCATTTCTTTAAGTCATTTTTTCCATTCCCTACTTTGAAAGAAAATAAAAAAAAAACCTTGGAAGGCAGGTTTCCGCTCTGTTACAGTTGAAATCGTGCTGTAAGTGGAAAAATCTGTGTGTAAATTTGGAGTTTGGAGAAAGCAACTGCAAAAGCAACACCGAGCCAAGAAAACACATGATCTGATTGGCTGAGTTGCTCCCACCAAAATAAACAAAACTCTGACTTACTGACAAAAGAGCACATGCAGTAATGCTCTAAAACGTTTTCTTTTTTATCTTTTTTTTTCTACGTTAGCCTCAGCTGAAATAACTAAGTTCCTTTTGACTCACATTTTCTCTCCGTTTGCAAACAAACATGCAAGAAATGTGAAAGCCATGTCTCTTCAATTTAGGGTTAAAGGGAGATTTATTGCTGGCAGACGCTGCAGAATTTTCAAGTGGCCTTCAGACACAGCCTCAATGCCCGTAGTAGTATGTGGCGTTGCAGATCTGCACTAAGGCGGGTTCATGTCTGCCTATTCCCGACCTGCCATGACATAGCCTGGCTGCACCCGCCACCCTCCCACCATCCTTCTCTAGTCCACCCCACCTTAGAAGATAAATACCTGGAGGTGAAAGCTTGCCACACATTCCTTCTCCCAAACATATTCTCTTGATGTCAAAGTCGACTCCAAGGCCCCAGGGCCCACGAGTAAAGTGGTAATTCTGAGGCACCTTGCTTGGGCTTGCTGAAATATGCATTAAACATGCGCTGGTTACACTTAGATTAGAGGGGAAAATCTATTCAGAGCGCAAAAAAATACATCCCTTATATATGTTTTTCTTTAAGCTAAACAGTTTTCCGTACATTAGCCATGGCTTTTTTTTTTTTCACTCAATACACTGAAAGTCCTGCTTTCTGCACAACAGCAGCTCCCAACAAGATAAATTGACTTTTTTTTCCCCTGAGGAATTAAAGAGGTTAAAGTAAAGACCACACAATAAATACCAAAAATCCACACAACACACAGAAGAGCAGCAGTTAGCCTTAAGTGGTTGTTGGAGATGGTCTCCAACAACACTGCTCTTTATGCAACAGTTTCTGCAAAAAGAAAAGAAAAAAAAATCATAAATCATCTCTACTGGAACATGCCCTGCCTCCTCTCGTAAGCCGTTTCCTAACACAGGAAGGGATGGCACCAACTCACTCTGCTCCACTGAGACAGAAACACATCACATTGAGTCACGGTGAGTTTGTGTGTAATTGTTTAAGATCCGGCAGAGGCTCATGCACAATGGCCTCTTAAAGCACAGATCGAAGGGTTATTAGTTCCTTAAATCAAAGTCGATCACATGTTGCATTAAAACAGCGTCTGAGGTGCTGGCAAGTTTGTGCACAGTGATTAAAAAATGATTAGTTTTCTGCAATTCTTGTGAGAGGGAACCCAAGTAGGTGGTTTCTGCAGGTCTCTGCTGGAAACTATCAGCTGCAGGGTAGACAGATTCACAAAGGCAAAAAAGAGTTCACACAGCAGGAGCGTCTTGTTTACTGATGCTTGCAGCAGACAAAGGTGATTTTGTCTAGAATAAATATCAACTTGCCATTGCTCACTGACTTACTGTGTGTCTCAAAGATTACTACATAGACCTGTTCCTTCTGCAGAAAGAAGGAAATGTTCTTTTTCAAGAAAGAACATTTGTAAAAGGCCTGTTTGCACAGGCTTCCTGACATGGTTTTTGGAACCAATGAGATGCTTGGATTTACCTGATTTTTATATGAGCTGTATTTTTATTCTTTATCCGTTATTATTTACAATTTCTCAAAAATAGAAAGGCAACTTTAAAATGTTTTGTGAAGTTGAACTGGGATTAGTCACAGACTTCTTGGAAGAAAATCTGCTCAGTATTTGTAGTTCGAAGAAAAATAACTCTGCCTGCAGGCCTGTGTCAGGAACCCGGTAATCTTGTGATCAGTTATTAATCCCTGAACAACACTGAGCAGGTTAGCAGAAAATGAGCAGCTAAGTACACCTTCCCCTGCTTTGGGGATGCATTCGTGGAAGAGACACAAATCCATGTCACTGAGAAGACAGAGATCTTACTTGGCCTGCCCGGGTAAGGTCTTACCGAGGTCACCAAGAGCAATGGCCCTTGTGAAAGACAGTGAAAACCTGCCCTATTTAGAAAACAAATCTGCGACCTGAAAAAGTAAGAAACACAAGTGAAAATATGAAGGCAAACACTTCAAATGAGATTTAGTTTGGAGTGATTCAAGCTACAACTCTATTCACATTTCATAAAAGACTCAATCAAGTCAATTTAATCAGATTATAAAAAAAATACAGAAATCAGGTATTTAAAGGGTTTTCAACAAATAATCCCAATGATGTCGACCTTTCATTCACTGGACATTCAATGACATTCAGCTTGGTCCAAAGTTCTTCATACCCCGGGTGCTAAAACAGTTTCCATTGAACCATCAACTTTCTTTCTGATCGAAAATGAGACAGGAATCTCTCAAAAGACAACAATGCAATAGGACAGACCACCAGTTTTGTTAAAAATAACTGCTATTTAGAATAGATTGTTAGTTTGTATTTAGTTTTAAAAAAAAACAGTGCTACAGTTTCCAAACCCTTTTCATTGCTGACCAGCCTACTGCTTGTCCCCACTGGTAGTTGGAGGATTTAGCTGATGATGACCTCCAAGCCGTTGAGTGCCATCACCCTAATCTTTAGCTCCCTCTACAGATCCTACACTAGATCCATGTCAGGATTCTCATTGGGGCTCTTCAATATAATTCCAAATGAAAAGATTAATTCAAGCCTAAGTCTGCAAGGGGTATGCATAATTTTGAGGTCAGATGTATTTTTTTGATGGTTGTTTAAGGTTGGCCGTCAGTAGTCTTTCCATGGCTTCAGGGCTCATCATTGTGTATTAAAAAATGAATAAGAAGAATAAGCGTGTTCTCCAGCAATATTAAAATGTGTAGCAAGGCTAATAAGTTAATGTCTATTAAAAAAAATACTGTTCAAGGTAACCGTTATACAGTGGTACACCTTACTTCTCAGTGCTCTAAATGCTGAGTGAGTAATAGAAATAAATAGACACTAATAATAAAGATTGAGAGAATTATAAAGGTGTAAAGGCACAGAGATGTAATCAGTGAGCCAAGTTTACACTTGTTTCTTTAAGCATCTTCCTCAAAGAGAAAAACTACGAGTGCATGCGTGTGTGTGGGGGGGGGGGGGGTTCTGCGTCACTCTTAATACAGTCTCTGAAGTTTCATTGTAGGGTTTACACTCTTATTACCCTAAGCTGACAGCCTGTTAAGTGTGCGGACAGCTAATGACAAGGTGTAGTTTTTCCAAGTTGTCAGCTTAAGGTCTATGAAGACCTCTGGATGCGTCGCAGACTTTCATCTTAAACAGAAACAATGCGGTGGCAGGGCTACAATTTCAATACACATGAAAGGCAGGTGTCTTTGGAAAGGGTGGTTGAAGGGATAAAGGATAGAAACCTAATGGTAGCACTTGATATGACAAATAAACACACACAATCAGATAAACTCAGACATAAGATTACACTGCACAAAGAGGAAAATTACCTCCCACTTCAGTAGTGAGACATCGATTCAGACAAATAGGATACGAGGATATAATTATGAAAACGCGCTGACACTGTGACTTCCTCTCTGCCTGTAGGTCACTAGCAGTGGGCCACCAGTATTCATCAATAGGTACCCAACCTATTCTTTGTGCCAGCATACCAGGTCTGGTGCCCAAGCAGCTGCGCTTCTGCAGAAACTACGTTGAGATCATGCCCAGTGTGGCCGAGGGGGTAAAGATTGGCATCCAAGAGTGCCAGCACCAGTTCAGAGGCCGGCGCTGGAACTGCACAACAGTCAATGACAACTTGGCCATCTTTGGGCCAGTTTTGGACAAAGGTAAACTGTACAGCATGCGTATGTGAATTCAGATCCATGGGCTTACGTTCATTGAAGTTTCATGGTCTCATACATAACTCAGATGTGTACTTTTAGGCTTATGGTTGGTAATGTTGGGTTAAGGTTGCAACTAATTTGTGGTCTAGAGGCACACAGTTTACAAAAATTAAAAGAAAAACCATTTGCAACTATCAACATCGTGACTCTGAATCTTTCAGAAATTTTCTTTAAAATATAGCTATGGAGACAGAAAGATAGATATGATAACCTTCAGAGGAAGATTTTTTTGCATCTTTGCCCAACTTTCACGAGCACAATGGCACACATAAATATAAGAAAGCCAGAAAAAGATAATTTGTCATTATTTTACCCTCAACATAAATAGGTTTCCATTGTCACTTAATAAAGATGAAAATTTAAATAATAACTTAGTCAAAAATTCAAACTATCAAGGATTTTTTTTCTCGTGTATAATTATGAGTGAGCTCGTAGATGTGGAGCATTCCAAAACATTAATGATGTTCAACTTCAATGGCTTCAGTTTGTGTTTCAGTATGTTGCTGCCTTTGCAAAGTTGATATAAAAGTCTTTAGTTCTCCAAACTACTTTAAAAAAAGGAAAAGAAAAGTGACTTATGGTCTTTCTGAGCTGATTAACTCTTTCATTAACTGTTCTGTTTTCTCTTTGTCTTATATTTGCAGTAGAAAAGCTGCATTCCCTGCGTGCATCATTCATTATGTTGATTCAAATCCTTGTTTAAATAGTCTTGAGACAGAACAAGCTCTGAGGGGCCTATATGCATGAAATGATGTACACAATTAGCCCAAGGCAAGTTAGTTCTGTCTTGTCTGAGTTTTCCTTGGGAGGGGATCTCCTGCAATTGCCACATTTTCCTTAAAAGACACCTAGGACGTGAGATTCTGAACCAAGCTGAATAATGCAGTTTTTCTAAAATACATTTTCACTTCAGAATATGATGACTTGCATATAACTGTCTATTCAGGAAATGAGGCCACACGCTTTAAGGCATTCAGACAAACAAAAACAGCAAAGAATAAGTGAAAAAGGTCAAGAAAACATGATGTATTATTAAATACACATGTAAAAAGAAACTTTAAATGATATATTTCTTCCATTGGCCTAATTTCGCCCTGAAAACATGGCAATTTTCTGTAGTTTTCTTTATTCTTTTTTTTTTTTTTTTTTTTTTTTTTTTCACAATAAGCTTTACAGGGCATTGCAAAACTAATCATGCCCCTTGAACTTGAACTTACACGCACAAACCCCAATGATTTTAAGTGATACACCAACAAGGGAGTGGAAGGAAAATAATTCACAGCTTTCAAAATATTGAAAAAAAAAAATTAAATAAAATCTGGGCCTAAAAAGGCTCAACAAACTGATAAAGAAGCCTGGTTTTGTTATTAAATTTCATTTAATGAAATATTTTTGAATTTAATTTGAAAACAGTGTCATGAAATTTTGCAGAACTGCCATTCACTGAAATTAAATCTGAAAGACTTTTGGTGTATATCTCTATCATTTTTGCAAGTCTGCAGCCTAAAATCTCCCCCACTTTTCTTTACAAAATAGCTGACACAGATTTTCAATAAAATTGGGCCAATTCTAAGTTTTTTTTCGGCTCATGGACCTTTCCCACAGTCTCAAATATTTTGCGGATACTCAACTCCATAAATAGTTTCATCAACTCTGACCAGTTTTTCTGCAACTCCTGAAAAAGAACAATCCCATAGCATGACAGTGCCACCACCATGTGTCACTCTGGCTGTAGTCTGTAGTCTTAGATAACTTTTAGTGTCATTTAAGCAAAGCACCTTTTTTGGCGAGCTTGCTGTTCTTCCTACATTGCTTGTGGCAATTTTCAAAAATTAAACTTCACAAAGGATCAACTTTAGTGTCTTTGAGCATAGTTTCAGACATAAATTTTATGGCTCAGTTTTTATCCCCATCTCAGAGCTGAACGTTGAAAACAAGTGGTAGTTTTCCATTTAGCAAATTCACACATACAAGAGAAGATGCGAAAACATTTGATAATCATTTCTGACAGCATGTACTTATGTTTGACTTATACTTGGACAATCAGCAATGCAAGATACTTGCTGACATGGAATAATAATTATGGCTTACCAAAATGAAATAAATTCCTGAACAACTTTTTTTTTTCCATCTATGCCTAAGGGAATATAACTTGGTTGTATGTTATTGCACAAAGCTTGGTTTCCAGTAAGCAACTATTTCCTGCTTTCTTACAGGTAACCTACACCTCATCTGTTAGTTGATGCGTTGCCTGATGTTGTTACAAATGCTGCTCGACATGTTGTTTTCAAGAAACATTTCCAAATTTCATAATTCAAATTTGCTTTGTAGCTTCATAGCTGCACTGGAGGAGTTCATGTTCTTTCGCTTCTTGTGCTTTCTAAAATATGATTTAAAAAATGAGACCGGATGTTGTGCAATGTGGACATCCACATTGCACAACATCTAAAGATCTAAACTTGGCAGCTAGTTTGCTGAAGACTGATGCAAATGTGGCCGCTTGGAGGTCACTTAGGGCAATTGCTTTTAATAAACTCTTGAGTCAGTTGATAGAAGAGGCTTGAGCTCAAGTAGGTGGCTAACGATAGGGGTTCTCAATCCCAGCCCCATTGTGGTGCAAAATGCCACCACGTCGTTCCCATTGCCCTCCCCTCCCAACTCTAAATTGCAGGGGTACTGACTGGAAAGAGAAGGCCGCTACTGGGCTTTAGTAAATCATTTTGATTGGATTAAGGTCACCCAGGCCCGTAATAATGTGAGAGGTCAAAGTGGCTGGATTAAGTGCCTTTGTCTGAAGATGAGGAGAGTGGCTCAGGGGCTCACAGGCCTTTGATAGGTTTTAGTCAGAGTGGGCTTCCATTTCATTGGATTTGATTGATGCTGGTGGTTGTCTGTGGAGTGAAGCCATTGTCCCCACTGGTGTCTGTTTGTCTGCAATTCAGACTGTTGTCTTTCAGTTTCCTCTTGGCCTTTTTTTTTTTTTTTTTGTGAGGAAGAGTATGCACCTTATTTACTTCAAAAACTTAGTTACATCCCATGACTGGTAGTGTTGATCTCATTGACATGATGAGCATTTGAGTTAGTTTAACATCTCTATGAAGGAAGTTTGTATTTAAAGGAAGATTGTTTTTGAAGTTAGAGCAAAAAAAAAAATAAAATGGAAAAACAATTACTTAAAACTTAAAGCAACAAGATCCTACCCAGTGTGAGCACTACTTTCTGTTACCACACACACTCACATGAATGAAAAGGAAAGCAACTCCTGCCTTTAAATAAGACACATTCTTGTTAGAACTCTCTCTCAGACGTGGCCTAAACCTCAAAGATTTTATCCATAGCCACACCTCACATCACAAGGCCTGCCTCCAGGCTATGTCTGTGTCAGCACTCATTAATTTACATTAACCAAAGTGTCAAAACATGCACTGCTGGAATCTGCCTGTGATGAAAGGTAATAGAAAGCTGTGCAGGTGTTCTCGGTTTTTGCAACCAATCCCAGAGCTGTTGTGACCTTTCTTGCTATCTGAACAACACCTCCCTGCTGTATGGGCATATGCACACTTCTGTTTGTGAGTCATATGATGGAATTAGGGAGTGCAACTGTGCCTCAAAATGTGGATGGCAACTATATCGCAGGTGTTGAGACCTATGCAAACAGAAACTGCATTTTACAAAAGTTTTTAAGCCCATTAAGCTTCTTCACATAATGTCACCATACAACCAGAAACTTAGTTGTGTTTTGTTGTGATTTTATTTGAAAAGACACAAACTGCAACATAAATGCGAAGTGAAAGGAAATGCTTTCTAAATCCATCTGTTGCCAGAATTACGAATACAAAGTCGTCAGGGTACAACAACGATAGTCACAGGGCTCTAGAGACTAGAGTCGATAGCGCTGTCGGCTAGCCTTCTTGCGAAAAAAGTCAAGCTCAGTCAAATTGGATAGAACAGCAAATATTGCCACAGATTTTCCATACGATTTAGATGTGGAATTTGCGCTAGAAGATTCTAACTATACACAATAAGTTATAGTATATCCCCTTGTACCTACTGTTGTATCCTAACCTCTAACAGATTTATTCCTTGACTGGTTTGCTTTCGCTCCATCCATTTTCTCCTTCAACTCCTCCATCTTCCCTCCCCCTGCTGCAAAAAGTGTTCCCCCAGCATCATGCTGCCACCATCATTTTGGAAGTGCTATATTTTTTTTTTCTTTTTGCCATAAATAATCTTTTGCATGTTAGCTAAAATGTTACATTTTGGTCTCAAGTGAAGAGATAACCTTCATATCTGTTTGCTGTGCTGGCATGCACAAACTTTATCTCTGCAGTTCCTGCAGAATTACCATGGGAGGTCTTGGCTTCTTCACAGTGTTGAAGACTACAGCTTCTGCATATGGCGTGCACATTCTACCATCTGTGCAGACCATACTTTTTCATTTTCAGATGAGCCTCAAAGCTTTGACCTTCTCCAGCAACATATCCTTGACCTGTCTGCTGTGTTCTTGGGTCGTCATGATCCTGTTTCCTCTCTAGTATTTTGTAGCTAACGTCTGATGCCTTCACAGACCACCTGGATTCATGATGATATTGTATCACTCACAATATCACTGTGATATTTAATTGTTTATTAATTTCTGAATGCACTTAATTGCATGGGATCTTATTTATGGGTGTCAGCGTACAGGACGCAAAACTGAAATTGACCCCATCCTTTTCAGATGCATTATTTGTTAGCAGTTTTGCAAATTATGATTCGTGTTTCTTCCACATCAAAATGATGTGGTAGTTTTTGTGGGTCTATCACATTTAATCCCAATATAAATTAAGTTTGTAGAAAAAGTTCAAGGGGTATGCAATTTTTTTTTTTTTTTAGCTTGGCAATATTCAAGCCAGGAAGTATAAGTGAAATCAATAAATCCCTCCTAAATTAACCAGGAGGATGTCAGGAGATACGGGTTATGACCTATGACCTGAGGATGAGAAAGTGTAACTATTTAGGATGAGCTAAAAGGTCTTAGCTTTTCACAGAACGTATGTCTCATCAAGCTGGGGGAGGGAAGTGAGCGCATCAGTATATCATTAACTCTGGGCAAGAAAGAAAGAAGGGGTGTGGTAAATGGAGTTGATGGGGGGACCTTAGCCCCGCTCCCCACTGGGTGCTGCTCAGAGCACAATATCTTCTCAACCATGAGATTAAGCAGGAGAAAAAGTGCTTTTCCCCATTCACACGCCCTTTAGATTGTTTTATTAAACCATGTGAATAGGGATTTCCCTGTCTGCCGACAAGCGGGGTCCAGCCAATGCATAGTTCTCTGTTGCTATGACTTAACTTAGTCCCCACTAATCACTAGCCAGGGCAAATTTCATATAAAATATCTGGGTCCATTGTGGGACTAACACAGCGTGACTGTGACAGCACAATAGGGGATTGAACCCCCCAGCAGGTTGTAGGGACCATTTGGCCTGCCGGTATCTGGCAAAGTTTGGTTGAAAAGCATTGTCCAAGAAAAAGTGTCCTTAAATTGGTCGTAAAAGGGAGAGAAGCTGTTGAACTTATGTAAGAGAGGACATCTCCCGGCGAAGTAAGCGCTACAACAGGAGGTGCATTTGGCTTCGAGACGTACTACAGCACCAGAAAGGTAGCATGATACCAAATATGACAACTCGTAAAAATACAGCTTGGAGTAGCATGCTTTTTTTTTTTTTTTTTTGCTTTAATTGAATAAAGCCCTAGAGCAAAAATAGTGTCAGGATTTAATGATCACCTCAGAAGCATTTACCAGCATCACATTTTAAATGTATTATATTTATATTATTGATATTTTTAGAATCAAACTTATTCATGCTTGTTGTATTTATATTATAATTAAGAAGCTCATAAAAGAGACATGTCTGACTCTGGATACATACTATAAACATCTTTTTAGACTCTATACTTACTGTGAGTTGTTAACATCTACACTGTAAAAAAGTTTAAAAAAAAAATAAATAAAAAATAAAAAAAAATAAACATCTGTAATTTACAATAAAATACAGGCAGCTGTGGGTGCCAGAATTTTATCATGTAAACACGTTGAAATTCTGGCAACCACAACTGCCTGTATTTTACTGTAAATATATGTTTTCACTGTGTAAACATTTTTTCATTTCACTCCAAGTCTATTAAATGCTTAAAAAACCGCATTCCCCCCAGATTTATCCCTGTAAGCCTTTAATAAAATGATTTCCCAACATTTTGGCATTAATGAAGTATTGCAATGTGACTATCAGATGGTGCCTGTTCGTTAATGATTTGAATTTATATTTCTGATTAAAAAAACATGTCATTAGTAACTTGTCTTAGATTTGGTGAAAGACAGCTTTCAATCGGTGATATTATTAAATCACATCCCTCTCCTAAGCTGTCAATATACTCCACCAACTGTAGGAAGCTATCTCTTTAGTGAAAATATTTTAAGCACAAAAATTGTTTGTCAAGTTCAGTTAAGGTTGTTTCACAGCAATAAATTTCAAATGTGAAAGATTTAATAAGAAGCACAGTTTTGTTTTTGTTTTTTGTTTTTACTGCCACTGTCATCAAATGTTGGATGCATTGAAATTTTGAGGCTATATGTTTGGTGAGAAACTTGTGACCTTCAAAATTTAAATCTCAGTGTATAGAGACTTATTCATTCTCCCAACTTTAAACTTTGAAAATTCAGTGTGTGAGTAGAGCTCATGGCACTACATGGCATGCTTGAACTTAAGCAGCGCCAATATACAGCATAGAAGCCAAAGTGTCAGAATGGTTATAGTAGTAAAGCTCATTGTTTACTGAGGTTGAACTTGTTATAAAAAGTTTTAGCATGACTTCTCTAGTCACACCTTTTCCGGTTACTTTCTGGAGAAAAGCTTGGTGGTAAAAAAAAAAAAAAAACATAAACAACTCTGAGCCTCAGAAAAGTATTGGTTTGATAGCTTATTATATGCCCTTCTTACTCTGTTGGATTAAACGATGGGAGCTACCTCTGCACTTAGTTTTTGCTTAATTCATTTTGAAGTGTTTGTCATTAAAATAAAAACGTTTGTTGATGTTTAGTAACCTTGGATGCATTTCATTGAAGTATGAAATGGCTGGTGGAGGATTCAAGAAGACCATTTCTCTTGCATCACTGTTTTAATGCCCCTTAGTCCTCAAACTGGTTGGAACCTGCTGCAAGGGAGGAGCTCCTGCTGCCTTTAACTACGTGCGCCTTCCTTTTTTTTCTTTTCTTCCTTTCGTTTGTTTTCCCTCTCTTTCTTAAAATACGCTTTGGCTCTCTCACACAGTCAAACATGTCGGCATAAACTGTCTTATATGTCGCCTACTGTTCGATATCTAATTTACTTACGCCTTTTGGTTTTCATTCCCTTTTCAAGTTTTACCTCATTTTCATGCACTCTATTAGGCGAATGAATTAGGCACCTGGTCAATAAAGACTCAACTCCATGTTGTGCATTGTCCCTTCAGTGCAAGGTTGTTTCCTAACCTCTCAAAAGCTTAATTGAGTCTCTTAATTATAGGTCTGTCAGGCCTGTCTTTTCCTCTCATCTCTGTGGAAGATCCTGATCCCTCTGACTCATCAGTTAGCTATGTCAAACACAGACATGGAGGACTTTCCAGCCTTATTTAGAGACAGCACGATTGATGTCTGGGCTGAACAAAGTCACACAGACAGTCATACAGATGACAAACAGATGAATCCGACAACAATAAAGGACTCCTAATATGCAGTTTATTTAATGTTGACATTAGTAGAAACAAAATGAACCCATGTCTGTGGACCAGGGGGTAACCAATACTGTTAATTATAGCTCATTCCTGAACATAATCGCATTAATCAAGAGACCATTTTCAGCTTTTTATTTTGCAGTTTGTGTACAACAGTTTTTCCGACCCATCCTAAACACATCCCTGAAATTCTCTTTGTAGCTACTCGAGAGTCTGCTTTTGTCCATGCCATTGCCTCGGCGGGGGTTGCCTTTGCTGTGACCCGGGCTTGCGCTGATGGTTCAGCCACCATCTGCGGCTGCGACACACGTCACAAGGGCCCCCCTGGAGAGGGATGGAAGTGGGGTGGCTGCAGTGAGGATGTGGAATTTGGAAGCATGGTGTCCCGCGAGTTTGCAGACGCGAGGGAGAACCGCCCAGATGCTCGCTCGGCAATGAATCGCCACAACAATGAGGCAGGAAGAACGGTCAGTTATTCTTTAGATTCTGCGTTATTGTTCTGCTGTTCCACTGTCAGGTGTTGTTAACTTTTTTATAAATAAAACCTACAGTCCCTCAACGACAACATGTTCCTGAAGTGCAAGTGCCACGGTCTCTCAGGAAGCTGCGAAGTCAAGACATGCTGGTGGTCACAGCCGGACTTTCGAGTCATCGGCGACTACATGAAGGACAAGTACGACAGCGCGTCTGAGATGGTGGTGGAGAAACACAAGGAGTCCCGCGGTTGGGTAGAGACGCTGAGACCCAAGTACAACTACTTCAAACCACCCACAGAGCGTGATTTGGTTTACTATGAAAGCTCACCCAATTTCTGCGATCCCAACCCAGAGACAGGCTCCTTTGGCACCCGGGATCGCATCTGCAACCTAACATCCCACGGCATAGACGGCTGTGACCTGCTGTGCTGCGGCAGGGGTCACAACACCAGAACTGAGAAGAGAAAGGAGAAGTGTCACTGTATTTTCCACTGGTGCTGCTACGTCAGCTGTCAAGAGTGTGTGAGAGTCTACGATGTGCACACTTGCAAATAGACTTGTAGAGGTTCTCAAGAATCTGAGAATTTCTTCCACAGGTTTCGACCTGTGAAACACGTGTCGCGTAAACACACACAAATGACTGTGTGTTCTATTCGGGGATGCTACGCAGAGCTAGTCTCTGCCCAAATCAGCTGAAAGTGTTGAACATGTATCCATACTGAGAGCATCCTTCATGAACTACCATGCTTGTATCTATGTTTTAAAAGGTTTTCATGCTGAAGTAGGAACAAAGGACTGCTGACGAATTAACAAACACCATATTGGTGTTTCTCTTTCATGTCAATAATAGCTATTTCTGTTAAGAATTAAACAGCAATGCCATTGTTACCCTCAATGTTTAATCATCTTTTGATTTTGACAAAAAAACAAACAAACAAAAAAAAGAACTTTATGTTACAAAACGCTCAACTGCATGCATTCCCCTCTTTGGTTTTTTATATGTATGTTTACATACATACGGGCGAACTAACATGATCATAGTTTCATAGTGTTATTGATGTTTAGGTAAGAATGCACTTGCACCTCAGTGAATGTAGCTATTTGCTGTAACATGTTTACACATTGTCACAACCTTAAGCTAATGGGTTAATATCTCTTTTAAATGACAAACATTATCTGAGAGTAGCCAGAGTAGCTACATACTGCTGAAACCAGAGCATTTCACCCATTTTATGTAGTTTTATATAGTTTAAGATGTTTTAAGTAAGGTTTTGTGAAACGGCTAAAGGAGTTAATTTCTTACCTGCAGTACATAACTCTTTTTGGCATCTATATGTAGCCCAAAACCACATTAGATGCTGCAGAAGGCTAAATCTAATGATCCTTCCAAAAGGGGCTATGAAAAAAAGCAAACTTCTACCATCTTAAAACAACTCCAATTTTAAAAACGCTGTTGTGGGTCATGAAATGCTGCGGTTTGCACCTTTAAACCAAGAACATCCCATTGCATATCAAGTGAGTACAATTCAGTTTATCAATACTGTACAAATTCCCCAAATGCAGCAATCTCTGTTATTGAGTAACCATGTGGCAACAGTTCCTTGCATCCGGTTGTCAACCTAGCAGCTACCCTTAATCCTGAGCAAATATTTTGTGACAGTGGAAAATAACAACTTTGTCTTTACAGAACATTCTGAAGCATGTATATTCTGGTCCATAAAGCTATGGCTTTTCAGACTTCAGTTGTTTTAAGATGATATATATCAATTATTTGTCTTGCCCCCTCTCACTTTAGCCATTAGCTGATAAACATGGTGCAAGAATAATCTACTGCAGGAAAGACATTTATTTTAGCCAAACTCTAACCCAAGATATTCTTTTAAAGATTTCTCAGAAAAAGCTATACTTTCACATATATCCAAGGGGAAGAAATATTTATGGGATGGTCAGAGATCTATAGCTAAGACTGCAAGGTCAGCTGAGAAATATGAAGCTTTCTCGCCCTGGGTTTGACAATATTAGCAAAGTCTTTGATGTGGAAAGACACTGATATTTGTGAAAGGGTTCTGTCCTATTATGTAAAGTTCAGACTTAATTGTTGTTTTAATTTTCAATCAATCAGAATGATACTCTCCTGCCATTTTAGGAAAAAAATAACAATAAAATGTTCATTTACGAGCTATGTAAGTTCTGTTATGCAGTATATTTTACAGTTGTTGGAAAATAATGACCAAAACCTTTGTTTGTAATGATTCTGAGCAATGACTTCCTGTTCCCTACACTAAACAATGAGCAGCATCACTGAAGCTATCAATACTTCCATATTATAAAGCTGCTAAGGTAACATGAGTTCATGTTTGTTTCATGTTTGTTTATTAACTTACATAGAATACATCTTCATCCCTGTGTGATTTGTGTATTCTTTGCATGTACTGATTCTTTCTGTGAAAGAAAACTGCTTATTGTAGTTTGGTAAAAAAAAAAAATGTGAATTTTTTTTTTTGTTTGTTTAAAGTAATACAGATTTAACTAAATAGGATAAAATAGAGCTTGTTTTTCTCAGTGTCACACTAAATATTGGATTAACAAGGTGGCGCAGATGGAGGAAAACACAATTATGTGGGACTGAATTCAAATACTCAACAAAGATACATTTAAAGATAAATAAATCAGCAAAATAGAAGACATATAAGACAGTGCAACAAATTCTGATCATTTTGCCGCTTTATCATTCATACTTTTGCGAATGGATGTTTTTTTTGTGCCTTTCTTGCCTACATATATCAGTTTTGAAAGCTTAGAGTAATTTTCCATAATTTTCTTTTCTGACAGCAGGAGGTCACTTAACAGTTACACTGGTTTTATCAGGTGTCTTTATTTGTAATACTGCATAAATGTTATTTTAATTTGAATTAAATTATAAGTATAGTTTGTTCACTTCTATGATTATGGGCTTCATCATTGTTTTTTAAAAATACATATCTTTTGAGGTAAACAAACTGTTAAATAATGACACATGGATATGAAATGGAAGTAAGAATTGAAAAGGGGGTAAATCGATCGAGAGCCACGCCTTTCACAGTTCTGTTTAAAACAAAAACAGTGTGTCAACACATTTCAGATAACACAAGAAAATATTTCTTTCATTTTTTCGATTTGATAAATTTTTGGCTTGCCTGTTTAGTTGTATATTTTTAGTAGTGTTGTCTCATTTCATCAAATGTGTTACCTGTTCTAAATACATTTTGCAAGATGTTGTGTTTAATTTTTGTTATTCCTAAAAGTTTATGTTCATTTTTTTGTTTTGCTTTGTTTGAGTTTTATTGCAGTTTACTGTGTTTCACTACTCATGACTTTTATAAAGCAGATTAATAGAGGCTATCTCCTTTGATTTAAGAAGAAATGCAGAATAATATTTATTTATCTGGGATGACCTTTGAATACCGAAATGAAAACCGGGACACACAGCTGGGTTGTTACTGTGCCACTGAATTTAGTCTCTCTGCTGTGGTGAAAGGTGTAAAATCTCTAAGAAATTATTTTTAACAAAACATGTTTACAGTGTAATACTACTGTTTGTCTCAGGCTTTTGTTCAGCCTGTGATCGAACTGAAAATATTAATAAACTGTTATAATAGGTTTTACTTTTGAATCATTCTTAATCGATTACAGAGCGGCCGCCATCAGTGCATGTTCTGAAACTGATCATGACATTGATTACCACGCACTCTGTATGTGGGCGACTGCTGTGTGGAGAATGTGGCTCTGTTCTAATTTTTTGAGTCTTAAATCCAAAGTTTTGTACAGACTAGTTCTAGGATTTTATGAATTTCTAAGATTTGATGTCTTTTTTATAATTATTTATTACATGCCTTGTACATATTAGTGAGTAAAAGTATATATTTGCAGAAATGTGTTTTTGAAGCAGTGTTGTGACTCTGTAGCCTTTTTACCTCATCTTTTTTTTTTTTTTTTTTCCACTGACAGGTGTTGATCCTGGTGCCTGTAATAGATTTCTAAAAGCTAACTCTGTAACATAAAAAATAAAATAAAATAAAAACACTGAACTCTGTGACTTGTTTCTGAATATTAAGTCAATGTGGATAAAGATGAACCCCTCTTATGTTAGGTTTGTTTTGATTTCAGAAGTTGCTCACTAAAGAATGATTTGTCCCTCAGCAATGAGTGCAAACATAAGTGTGCAAGCATGTTAGCAGATCTTGATAGAGGAAATATTTAGTCTGCATTAAGGTCAGACACTGAGAAAAAAGTTTCTTTGTTACTTTTTTTAGTGTTTCAACTGTAGCATATTGTAGTATAATGCCGTTTCTTTGCATTCTGATCTCCAGAAACTCACAAGGCAGAAAGAGATCTTAACACCCACATCTCTCAAAAATCTATATTGTTTTCTTCAGTTTAAATTTGTTTGTTGGATAAACTCATACACTGAAGACACTAAATGGCTACATGGGGCTGCTAATGGTTCTCCTTCCAGGTAAAGTGCATGAAGGTGACAGGAAATGTGAAAAAGAGACTAGAATTTTATAGAACAAGTAGTCCCTGGGTTATTGTGCTGGGCCATTTAACAGCTTGGAATCAGCTCCTAACACTGTAACAAACAGAAGAGCTGTGAGTAGCAACCAGTTACTTCTCTAATAATTATCTCAACAAAAAGCCATCAATAGGTTTAAGGTCTCATAAAGCAGTCCAGTAGTTCAGGCTGTAACATTAGTTTCAGCATGTTTACCTTTGGATTGATTTTAGGATGGCCTTCCACCCAAATTCTTTTCATCTTATTGTTCCTCCATGTATCTTTGTTCTACACCTTTTGCGATATCCTATGTATTCCCTCTTTTCTTTCTGCTGATGCCAAATGTTAACGTAGGAAGAAAACTGTTGATCATCAGAGATGAAGATTCTTCTCTGGTGAAGAGAGAAGAACCTCTTTATCAGTGATTCTTCTCTGGTAAAGAATCTAGTGAACAGTCACTTGGAAGAGCAAGGGATTGGAAGAGCAATACCTTTGCTCTTCCAGAAAGGGAGTTTCTCTTCCCTTCCCGGAATTCATACCACTCAGTGAGATTTCGACTGATTTTAAAAGACACTAAAATAATTGAAATTCATCTCCATACAATTTAACCTCATCAGAAAAATATATATAATGGTCATTGTAGTTATTGTTATTATAAATGAGTCAATAGTTAGTCTTTGTTGAGATTTTATTAGCAAAAAAGACTCTTAAGACAGTGCAGCAAAACAGCAAAACATGGGGGGAAAAGTCGTATAAGTTATAAGAGTTTAGAAAAAGATGGATATTTGTTCAAATGAGAGACCTGGTTGAGGTAGTCTTTACCTCAACCAGGTAAAGATAGTCTTTGAGCCAAGCAACAACTTCACCACCAAAGGCCAGGTCTCACTGCTACTTAACGCCATTGTCACACAGAAAGCTTGATGCACAAAATACTCCTCCAAAGTGGAAGTAACAAAAAAAAAGTGATACCTTTACACTCTCATTCATGTGGACTTATTTGGCCACCCCCTGCATAAATAGTGTTTAAAGTTGTCTGCCAGGGTATATCCTCACTTTGGCATTCCAGCACACTCACAAAAATGCTAAAACATTTACATCCGTCTTCATGCCAGAGACAACTACGGAACTTTGAAAACTGTTGCTGTGTGTGACTTACTGGAACACCGCCAGGTTGAGGTTTGCTTCAGTGACTGGGAGGGTGACAACAGCTCATTCCACATTGTGACCTTTGGCATTTTTTACACCACGTAAATGAGTGCAAACAAGTACAAAACATGAAAAAGATCACAGGACAGACAGAAACTCCAGCCCTGCAGCAACGCAGTATTTTGCTGAAGGAAATGGACCCTTCCCCTTTCGGTCAGACCCACCCACTGCAGCTTTGTCACCCAAGTGAGATGAACCTTGTTAGCAGATAGTTGCCGGAGGAGGCTACGGCGGCTCCATTGGGAGAGGTGGCATCCTGACTGTGAGAACTTTGACGCCATCAGGCTGCAAGTGGCACAGCCCAATAACCATATAAATGGGAGACAATAGCCTTGATTGCAATTAGTTTCTCTATTTTATGTCCTGTGTTTAACCCTTTAATATGTCAGACCTCTGCTTGCATTTCAATAGAACAATGTTGTCATGGGACTGGCTAGGGATGCATATATGGTGAAATGATGCAAAGAGGCCCACGCTCCCGAGACAATGCAAATGATTAGAAGTCACACAGTGGTTACAATCTGCTACTGCTTCTCTCAAAAATCCTTTTGAAGCCTCTGCAACACAATCCCTGGTATTAACATAAAAGATGATGATTCACATAAGATGGTTGATTTGACGTTTTTTGAAAACAAGTTGAAAGACGGAATGAAATGAAAAATAAATGCATAATATACTGGTCAAAGTTTAACAATCCACACCTTACATGAAATGTTTTATATCTAGACTGTAGCCTTAAAGAATGCGATACTCAAACCTCCTCGTTGTAGGTCGTACACTCCAAAGGTGACAAGGCTTAACTGATCTACACAGACGAGAGCAGTGTGTGGGCACTTCATTATGTAACTGACTTTGAAGCCAGTCTTTTGATGTCAATGTGCTCTTCTGTCTAACATCAGAACATCCCCCTCCATTTCAAAGCGTCTCCTTCAACTCTCTGAAAACACCACTTCGCCCAGATGTAGAACAGAACCAGAGCTCAGATGATTGATGAGTCCGACACATTTTTAAATATTGTTAATCTTAAAAAAATGTTGTAAATCTTTTTATTCCACTGAATACATGAGCTAGTGACAATGCTTCTCACGTCTTCTCACGTCTGTGTTCTAAATCAAAACAACTTAATACTCTTGACACCGTGAATAACACTTATATATATATATATATATA